AAGGGTGGTGATGGAACAGTGACTTTCTGTGCCAATTTTCAGCATGGCCCTTCATGCCAGGAGGCTTCTAAAGAAGCCTGACCAGATAGAAATGCAGTTGCCTCTGCAGCTCTGGGTGGGTGGCTCAGGAGAAACAATTGTCAGTTGAAGATCTGTGCAAAAAGCTAAATTTTGGGCCATGTGAAATTTTGCCTTGAGAATAAATCCTCCTGTAACCGATTTGAAGAACCCCTGTGTTACTTTGCAGCTCTGCTGAAGAGGAGGGGAGCAGTTATGAATGAGCAATGTCAAGTGGTCTCCATGAAGAAAAAAAACAGTTGATGACAGGCAGAAGAGCTTTTAGAGGAAATTGAGATGTGAGAAAGTGAACTGGGAATTCTAGGGAAAAGTATTGACACAGAAAGTGCCTCCCATACATATTCTTTGCAGCCTTGCCCTTTTTGTCCTTACTTTGTTGTATTTTTCTCTGTAAAATCTTGAACCACATTTTACCTGTGGGAGAGAATCAGGTTGCTTGATCTTAAAAGGAGCTGAGAGTCCTGTGCTCCTGTGAGCTGTGTCTTTGAGGTCTTCCTGGAGTTAAACTTTGTACTGGGAATTAATTTTTCTTAAAAACCTTCTGATGCTTTTTATTTTTTCTTAGTGGAAGACGTGTGTTGCAGGCTTTTATATGTGTCTCTTAACTGCTTCCCAAATGGATAAAGATTGCAATGTGTGTGTCATCCCTGAGCAGTTGTGTTATTCCAGTGCCTCTTTTCTAGGAATATTTAGAAGCTATTCACGAGCTCTATGAAGAGTGGCTCATTAAACGTGCACTGTTTGAAATTTCCTGCCCAGTACTTGTGAGTATTATTTTAATTATAACCAATTAGGTATGTGGGGGATTGTGCTTTCCAAACAATAAGAGCATTGTTTAGTGGTAAAAGTAAATAAATCTGCTTTTCTGTCCTTTGGAGAAGGACAGCCTCAGACAAACACGGTAGCTGTTAATGTATAGCAGAGAAGTGGGGTCTGCCATCTCTGCAGTGGAATTTGAGGGGACATTGACTGGGATTGCTTGCAGGATCAGCTGTGTAGGTTTTCAGGGAATACCAGATTCCCAGCAGAAAACAGCTTGGGCAGATGCCCAGGAGTATCCCAGTTTGGCTGCACTGGTAGTCCTGTCCTGTTCTGTTCTGCTCTAAAGGAATCAAGTTCTATGGTATCAGTTATTTCCAGTGTTCATCTTCTTCTTTCCAAGGTTATTGGAGCTGACCATGACATGCAGAAAATGATAGAGAAGTATGAAGAAAACCGGGACCAAATACTGAACCCACCTAACAGAAACCATTTATAGAACCCTGTGATTGTTGTATCAAAAATCATCTACTGGAGTCTGATTTGGTATTTTTAATATTTAAATATAATGGGTATGTTTTTGCACTATGTTTTGTAAAATGCTGTGGACTTACAGCTCTGAAATGATCAGATACCAATCAGGAACAGAATATGAGCAGATTCCCTTTGTGTTTTTAGGTTTTCCATCAGCTTTACAGTGTCAGTTCTATTCAACTAAAGTGTGGCTGTTTCCCTCTAGCTGCTTCCTAGAAGTAACTTTAGTTTTTGTTTTCTTCCCCAAAGACAACCCTGTTTTTGTAATTTGAAATAAACAGTTTATTACAATGCCCCTGTGAGGGAAGGTGCTGTGGTTTCTCTTGCTCGGGGTGGAACAGCAAGGGCAGTGTGTGCCCGAGGGAGGTTTGTGTGAGGCAGAGCTGTCAGCCTGGCCTGGAGCCCAGCAGATGGTGCTGGGTGTGAGCACAGGGATAGCCACAGGAGAGCCACGAGATCAGCCCCACCACTCTGCCTTAGCAGGGACAGGTCCTGCCTGGCCCACCCCATCTTCCACGGCCAGGTGCCCCTCCAGGTGGGTGGGGGAAAGGCTGTGGATGTGTCTCCCTGGAATTCAGCAGAGCCTTTGAGCCCCTCTCCCTTGGCATCTCCTGGAGAAGCTGCAGGGCCGTCCTTGGCTGGGATGGGAACTGCCTGAGGGCCGGGCCCAGTGCTGGGAATGGGATTCCCCTGGGCTCCATGCTGGGCCCAGTCCTGTCTGACACCTGTCCTGATGGGCTGGAGGAGGGCACTGTTACCTCAGCTGAGCGGGGTGATGGATGTTGGGTGGGAATGGGATCTGAGGAAGGCTCTGCCGAGGGCCCTGCCCAGGCTGGGTGGATGTGCCAGGGCCACTGCCATGAGGTCCAAGGGGTCAAGGGGCTGCACTTCAGCCACAATGACCCCTGCAGCTCCAGGGAAACCTGGATGTGGCACTGTGCTCTGGGCTGGGTGACAGTGGTTGGTTACAGGCAGGACTCAATGACCTCCCAGGTATTTTCCAACCTCAGTGATTCTGGGATTTGGTTGAATTGCAGTAGAAAGGAGGGGTGAAGCTCTTTGGGTTCTTTTCTATTCAAGTACAAAAACACCACAAAGTATGGAAGACAAAAGAGTAAGAGTAGGTAGTGGAAAGATCTCAAGCAATGAGGCTGGACTGATGGAATTTTGATGTCTGTGGTCAGATCAATGTTCAGTCTTGATCCCTTGGGCTGGTACCCACCAAACAAAAGGTTCAGAGGGTTGCAGACATTGCATTTAGCATGGGAACAGCTGTGTCCCTCCCCAGGGAGATGATTCCTCTGCCAGCTGTACCACTGAGAGCCAAGCAGAGCCTTGAGGTGCAGCCTCCCTGGCAGGAGTTGGGGACATTCTGAGGCCTGCATGGTCTCAGTGTCCCTCTGGCTTCTGCCCACTGCTGCTCCTGGGCTGTGTGGGCACCATGGACCTGAGCAGGAAAGTGGCTCCAGAAGGTGCTGCCTTCCCTCCCCTCCTTTGTTCCCCTTTTCCTGAGTGGCCAGCAGGTGTCTGAGGCACAGCAAAGCATTGACTCCTTCCTGCCCAGGCTTCACACTTCACATCAGAGGTAGGATGTTCATTAGTTCTATTATTTTTTATTATTGCAGGAAGCTAATGAAGTGCATTGAGTTAAAGTAGCTTTGTTAAACAGATCTTGCCAGTTTGAAATGGTGTTTTGTTCTAATCCTGCCCCCATTAATGCAACTTCATTGAATTCAGGAAGCTCTTTCTGCTCTACAGGACATCACAAAATAGCTTAGTTCTGAAGAGAACTGTCCCACTGAATTCAGTGCAAAAAAAATTAAAAAACCCTCAGAACACAGATTTTTTTAACTGGTTGCAGAATGGCCCCGAGGGTCTTTTTCAGCTAGCTTTTTATAGAGAGCTTATTTGTGTTCATGAGATCCCCAGTCCTGCTCTGGCTGAGCTGAGGAACAGTGAAAATAAAGGGTGTGTGGGACTGGGTTATTATTTTCAAATGTTTCTAACAAAATCCTAGGATGAACTGATTTCTTAACTGGTTTGCATTCGTTTACTTCTGTTTGTAATGAAAAACACAGCTGCTTTTCTGGGTTTATATCACAATCAGTTTATTATGACCTGTAAGTACTCAGAGAGCAGTGAAAACCAGTGGGGGTTTCATTCTTGGACTTGTTAAAGGGAGAGCCGAGTTGTTCTTCACTTGTGCTTTGCCTTCAAGGGAATCCTTTCAATGCAGCACTCAGACTGCTCTCACATTCATCTGGGTAATTTCAGGGGAATGATCATGGCAGTACAGAATCTGTTTTTCCCCTACTGGTTTTGGTTGGTTTAGCTGGAACAAGCAAGGCTTCATTAGCACTTTGATCACTTTGTACAGACATTTGTCAGGCACTTAGTGCAGGATAGAAGCATTCAGTTATGTGGCTTTTCAACAATATCTGATGGTGCTGCTTTTGGACATCACTGCTGTTGTAGGGCTGTGGTTTGCCTAAAGCACTTTGCACTGAAAGAATCACACCCAGTCAGGAATTGCAGCTCCTGTCTTGTTATTCCCATCTGATGAGCTGTTTCTTTTCTAAAACACTGCAACTTAGTAAGGATAAGAGCACAGAGAGAGCATTTCCTAGTGAAGTACTATGTTGGTACTAAAGCTTGTCATCCCAGGAATGCTGTTCTACTGCTCTGTTGTAAATCTTTAGAATTCGAGCTTAAAAGTAAGATTTTGTGTGCTAAATAATTATCTTACTTATTGCAGCTTCTTTGCAGAGGGATACCAAATATTCTTGATACCTTCTGTTAAACTTTCAGAACTTTTTCTTATCTAAGAGTCCAAAAGAAGGATTTCTTTGGAAATGGTACTGTATGTATGAAGCTCAGTCATCTGCAGTTTGTTCTTAATTCTAATTTCACTATGGACATACATTTTGCACAGCACAGAAAATGTCATTTAATGGTTTAATACAGGGAATCTTACAGCCCAAAGGATGCCACTGTTACTTGTGAGGACACAGCCCTGTGCACACTTTTTATTCCTAACACACATTTCTCACAGCCCCACCCAGAGCTGAAGGCAGTTCTGTCCCCTGGTGTTACCTTGGCCAAAGTTCTCTTTCTCCTACACTGCTGGATGTACACAGGGGATGACAGAATTGCAACCATTAGTTGTTCAAAAAGCAAATCTTTGTATTTTAGTTCCTGAGGTTTTTCTAGTCTAATCCATGTGTGCTCCTCTGAACTTTTTCAGGGATAAAAGTCAATTGTAAGCAATTCATAAAATATTAATTTCAGCTAATATTTTAACTGTACATAAAAGGCATTTTTTAGCATTCAAAATTGAGCTCCATATTAGCCACTGTGAAGAAAATTAACTCTACCCCAGCCCAAGCCAGCACACATTTCAGTGCTACTGAAAAAGCTACTTGAAGCAGTATTAAAGTGTCTAGTGTAACACAGAATTTTTGGGGTTGGAAGGGACCTCTGGAGGTCACCCAGCCCAAGCCCTGCCCAGGCAGGGTCACTGGGAGCAGGTGACACAGGAGCACGTCCAGGTAGGTTTGGAATGTCCCAGAGAGGGAGACTCCACAGCCTCCCTGGGCATCTGCTCCAGGGCTCTGCCACCTCCAGGAAAACAAGTTCTTCTTCATGTTGAGATGAAATTTTTTGTGTTTTAGTTTATGGCCATAGCTCCTCATCCTGCTGCTGGGCACCACCCAGAAGAGTCTGGCACCAACCTCTGGCAACCCTTGGAGGTACCTGTATGAAGCAGCACTGCAGACTGTGCCTAAGCACAGCAGCAGTGCACTTTCCTAAAAGAATTCAGAGCTGTGTGGGACACAGGCTCTCAGTGCTGGGAGCTTCCAGCTGATCCAACACTCCTGAGCTTTCCACACAGCACTCCCACCTGCAGGAGATCCCTCATCCTGCCTCTGCTGCTCACTGGGATCCTTCTCTGAGCAGATTTTTTTCCTGCCACTAAAAAGGCAAAGAATGAGATTGTTTTCCCTTCATTTTAGTGAGATGAACTGGCCTGCAGAAAAACTCTGTGAACTTCTGGTGCAGAATTAAGTATCAGGAGCAGGGGCAAGGGAAATGGCAGCCGTGGCTGGACCTCTCTGCTGGCTGCCAGTTAAAATGCTCAAGGCTTCTCTTGGAAATTGTGGTGGTGGCCACAAAATACTTTGGTAACAAATGGAGGTGGATATAAAACCTGTAACACAGGTAATGCCTCTACAAAACCAAGTGTTCACAGAGCTGTTTTCCTCTTTAAAGCTAAAGGAATGTTATAAAACTTTCTAAACCTGTATTCAGCTGAAGTCAGGAGGAAGATCAACTCAGACACAGCTTCAAAGGAATGCAGAGATAACAGAAGTACACTCTAGTATGGCATTTCTAAAGCTGGGTCTTCCAGTTTAGAAGAATTTTCTTTGTACTGGAAGAATATTCTAGGAATAGGTCTGTGAAGGGAAAAAAGAAAAGTAGGATGCCCAGCTGAAGAAACCTGTCTGTCATTAAGAACAGCCAGAAGGAATCTGACTGATGAATTAAATGGATTTGAATTTATAGCAGTTTGCCTACCCTTTATTAAGGTTACCATTCAGGTTTCCTTGTGAAATTAAGAATTTGTATAACTACTGCTATTTACTGTCCCAAAGCAGTGATGTGGTTGGGTTTTTTTAGAACTGTTTTGACAAAGCTAAACATCTCCCTGACAACAGGATCAAGGCCACAGGTGAGAGGACAATCCCCCCAGGTAATTACCAATGAAGCACTAGAGCCTCAGGTGTGATGGCACAGCACTGCCTGGTCGGTTCTGTCAATGATGACATAAGGTTCCTGGCTGTCAGTCTCTTGGGAGTTACAGTTCTCCAGCTTCCCTTCCCTGCCTGGAGCAGAGCCAGCTGCAGGCTGCAGCAGGCTCCTCCTGCCCCGTGCGCTGCTCCTGCCCCCGTGTGAGGGCCGCACATCAATGCTCTGGGGGGGGATGTAGGTGAGGTTGGGGGGCTCTCTGACGTGCCTGAAGCACTCAGAAGCTGGATGTGTCTTAGCAGGATCCATGAATAGTCTCCTGCTGTCAGAAGCAGGAGTGGAATCCTCTGTGTGCCCAGCAGTACAGCACAGACCTGAAGGTGGCTCCGTGTTTGGAGCTGCTCTCTTGTGCAGCTCAGCATCAGTCAGGAAAGTCTGTTTTATTTGGGAGTGATTAAATTCTCTAACGTGCCTGTCACTTGTTCCTGCATAGGCCACTGCCTCAGGCTGGCCAGTTTCCTCCACTGGATATGTAAGTGCTTCCTGAGCATCCTTGATTTGTAGTTCTGTGAAGGTTAAAGACAGCTCACAAACATCTTCTTCCCTGGGGATGCTGCAGTTTTGGGCAAAGTCCTTGTAGGGCAGAGACTTCAGCTCAGTGGGTTCATCACCAGGGGCTGGATCTATGCAGTTTATGGCATCATTAATTTCTGCTTCAATTGATCCTTCTGGGACTCCTGGAGCTTCAAACTCCAAGATGGTTTTGGCGTCACAGGGGCTGTCAACAAACATGTCAAAGGCAGGGGGGCCGCTGGCTCCTGGGGACAGAGGTGCAGGCCCTGGCGCTCGTGCAGCCAACTCTGCAGCCCCTGCCAAGGCACACTCCTCGCTCAGCCTGGCTCCTGGCTCCTTTTCCAAAGCCTTTGGAGAGAGATTCTCACTGAAGATGGGTGTTTGCCCTATGACAATGTCACTGTATTTGATCAGGAAGTCCTCGCTGTCTGAGCACTTGCCCGGGAGATGGGTGCTGTTGGTGCCTTGCCTTTGGTGCTCCTGCAGGCTGCCGGGGGATGCAGCAGCTGCTGACTGAGCCGCGTTCCCTTTGATCCTCACATTCCCAGCGGCTTCAAAGGATGCAGCACAGGTAGCTGAACACTTCTGCTGGGGAGCAAGGCACAAAGGTGTCTCACTGTTCCCTTCATTTCCCAGACTTTCAGCGTCTCCTCTCTGGGGTGTCTGATCTTCCTCATCCTCCTCTCCTCGATGCTGATGTGTTTGTGTTCCCTGCTGTGGGCTCCTCTCCAAATTGCCATACTTTTCTTCATTTGTCATCTCAAGGATGGCTTCACACTCGATTCTTGCCAGGAATATCTCAAATGCAGTCTGCTTCATTTCCTCATTGTTTCTCTTTTTGACAAGTGAAAACTCTGTCGCTGTAGTTGCAACATAACCTATTTTCTCCAGGACTGCTTTCACAAGGTCCTCTGGAAGCACTGGCTGGATGTAGTAGACAAAATTCCCAGTGAAAGTCTGGAATAGAACACAGCATGGAAAAGCTGATGAACACTGGGGGAATGGGTGCAGGGAAATGTGAAAGAGTTGATTTCCTAAAGATCAAAAATACTTCAAAACTTGCTTACAGCTTTCAAAAAACTGTGCTCTAGAAGTCTGAGTTTTGAATTGCAGCGAGTGAGGCTTTTCTAACAGCTCTATTTTGGCAGCCTCTCAAGCACTGCAGCTTTGCTGCAGCACACCAGTTTCAGTGAAGTTGTGCCAGTTTAAACCTGCTGGGGTCTTGGTTAAGAGTACCAGTATCCAAAAAGGAAGAGTGTAAGGAAATTATTTTAGTCAAACTGGAGAAACTCAGAAATAAACCTTATGTATTCTACTGAACCTAAGCTTTTTAAACAAACAGAGGCTCACAGAATGAATCACTGAGGTCTTTTCCTAAAGAAACAGACATGATGCACTCACTGTGAATCACATTCCTGAACTGGTGACAAGTCTCTAACACATTCTTTTTCCACGGTTCAGATTCCTGCTGTGAATTTGACTACCCTTGAATTAAACTGCCATTTTTTGAAAGCACCTTTCTGAAGAGAGACTATTCTAACAGAAATATTGTCCAAACACCTCTCTTTGCCCAAGCTGTCTGCAAAACACAATAAAAAGCTGCAGCTGTGCAACAACTTAAACTGTCCAATCATTGCTTGGTTTTAGAGCCACCTCAGGCACGAGGCCTAGTTTGTAACTGGAAGTGGTTTTTTGGTTTTGTCTGATACCCTGTGATAGGAGAGACTATTCTGAGCTGAACATGACCAACTCCTGTCAAGTCAGAACAGAACAGAGGTGGGAATGCAAAGTCAGGATTTCCAGGAGTGGGGTACCTTGTTTTCAGGCTGCCCAGCTTGGGCCAGACCAAGGCTGACCCCTGAGCATCAGTGTCATAAGCAGGAGGTTCAAGAGAACAAAACTGACCCCCAGAATGGCCACAGCATAATTCTCAGATAAATCTGTCAGAAGGGCCCTGCACTCCTCACCTTCTGTTCCTTCTGGAGGGGGAGCAGCTGCAGGCACTGCAGGGACATCAGAAATACTATTCCATGTATTTCAAATAAAATCTGTACGTGCACAAGGTACTGGTTGTTCTCCAACTCGTGCCTTGCAGTAGAATTATTTCAGGCCTGTAGCAGGCTCTCTTACACTTTGGGTTACCCACATTGGTCTTTAAGTGTAATGCAGCCTAGGATTCCTGTAAGGAAAAGCTGAACCCACTAAGTGTAGACCTGACTATCTTATGCTTTGCCCTGTTTTAGGGAGATGAATGAGAACAGGAATTTAAAGGTGTTTGAGAATCCACAAGCAAGATCCAAGTGCAGGAAGAAGCAAAGAAATGGCTTCTCATCAGCACCTGTTGCCAAAGCAAGGGCAGTAAGTTTGCATTTGGGCGTTTGGGGAGTCTGTTTAAATTTGGGATGTGTGAAGATGGCTGTGTCTTCTGGGCAATGAGATGTGTTCAGTGTGCTGGGGAAGTGGGGTAACCGTGACCACCCTGCTGCAAAGAACAACAGCATTTCCTCTTTCCAAGGGGCTGTCCCTGCCCACTCCACCAGCTGCAGGGTCTGAGCTGGGATCAGGGACCAGAAAGGCACTGGCCCACCTGGCCTTTAGCACCAAGTCACTGGAGATGACCACTGAACACTGCTGAAACCATCCCTGCTTATAGGCAGATTTTGGTCAGAGCTTAGTGTGATGAAAAGCAAAGCTTTTCAGAGTAGCTTTTACCTTCTCTGCTTTCTCACCACAACCAGGGGCTCCGTTCCCTGTCCCCGGAGTTGCTCAGCACTCCTGGCCTCAGCAAGGACAAGGCTCATTAAGGCAAATGAACACCTCTGAGCAGCCCTGCACCGTGCTGGGCACCCTGTCTCGAGCAGGCTGTGCCCCTGACCCCGCTCCGTGCCCCGAGCAGGCTGTGCCCCTGACCCCGCTCCCATCTCCCTGCCCCGAGCAGGCTGTGCCCCTGACCCCGCTCCCAGCCCCGAGCAGGATGTGCCCCTGGCCCAAATCCACCTCCCGGTGCCGCTGCCAAGCTCCAGC